GCAGGAATAGACCGGCAGAGAGTAACACGGACGTGAGACCCTGGGTAATGGCACCACGGAGGAGAGGCCCCAGGGCCGGGGACGAGTGCAGGTCACAAGTGCCCACAGCCCTCCTCCTGCTGGGTGTGTAGGAGTGTGCGTGTGTGCATGTGTGTATAGAGAAGTGTGTGTGTGAGTCGTGTGCAGGACGGTGCCCGGGACACTCATTCTGGCTTCCCTCACCAAGCTCCGTGACCTGCTCTGGAGCCACAGGTTTGAACAGCTCTGAAGTGCCCCCCCTCCCTCTGGGTTGGGTGCAGCCTGGCGGGAGAGGGCCAGGGGGCCATTTCCGGGATGTCCCGCCCTGCTGCCCGCCCTGCCACGGAGGCAGACACTCACTGGACATGTAGCTGAGGACGCGGCTGCTCAGCTCTGCGTAGTCCAAAGACTGGAGGGACCAACCTCCACTGGCTCCTGGTGGCCCTGGGGGACCCCGAGGGCCCATCAGGTACTGCCGTAGATACTGACGCACATCATCCCCTGAAAGGAGAGGAGGCACCAGTATGGACCACACGTCCAGGCTAACCTCCCCACAGACTGGCCCGAGTGACGTGTGAGCTGGGGGTTCTCAGACCCCCAGGGGGACATCAACAAGCTTCCGGTAGCTGAAGGGGCTCCTGCCCAGTTGCCTGGCCTTAGAGGGGAGAGCTGATGCCCCCTTTCCAGCTGGCTGCTGGGAGCGAGGAGGGAGGGGCTCCTTGCCCCAAGGGACTGCCAAGTGTGCCTGACAAGAGCGGCCAGGAGAGAGGGAAGGCACCCCACCCTCTAGCCCACCACAGCCGACTCACGCTGGAGCACAGCCAGGATGTCTTCAGAAGAGACGGAGGTGGAGGACGTGCTGATGCTGTATCCCGAAGCTGTGGGGAAGGAAACCGGTTACCCGCTTAGCTGGTACTGAAGCAACGCACTCATTACTCCAGAATCACAAAGACCCGGTCAACCAGCTGTTTCCGTTTGGGGGAAATGAATGCACGGGGGTGTTAGCAGGCTATTTATAATTTCTTATTTCTATATTTCTTAATCTGAACAAACCTTTTTTGAAGCTAGATTCGGTGGCCTGATTACCGTGAATTCAGCATTGAACATCACATTCAGAAAAAGGGCAAAGCAAACAGCAAATTAAGAGACAAGGCTCCAGGAATAACCGTGGACCCTGGGAGGAAGGTGTCATTACAGGGGTGGGGAGAGGCTTACTCTGTAAGTAGCTCACGACGAGGCTGGCCAGCTCTGAGTAGTTGAAAGTCTCACCCGTGATGGTGGTGACAGGCCCGGGGGGACCAGGTGGGCCTGGGGGACCCTGAACTCCAGATAGATAAGACCTGATACTGTCACCTGCCAACAAAGAAATAAAGCAAAGTCAGGCTTGTCCCCAAGAGGGCGTGTCCTCCCCACAGAGGTGACCTGAAGCACTTGATGAAATGCACACACCCATCCCCCAGGGGCCAAGGCAGGGCCAGCAGGGAGCCTAGACTCCCCTTGCTATAGATAGAGAAACTGAGGCAGACTCTGTGCTGGGCCAGGTGGATCTCCATGGCTATGGACTAACAAGACTCCAGTCAGCCACCCATTTGACAAAGCTCTGGTGCCCACATGTGTGGAAATCACACCCTCACCTCCACAGCACACGGATGAGGTTGGGGGAGTGCACACCAGTGTGAAAGCGTGCGTGTGTGTGTGTGCGTGTGCGCGCGCACGCACGTGCATGTGAATGAGCATGTGGGTGTACGAGCCTCTGCTGGGGTGAGGACAAATCTTTGTATCAATATGTGGGCAGCTGTGAGAAGGCGGGTGTCCGGGAGCTCACAGACCTGCAGTGCTGGTGTGCGCGCGCGCGTGCATGCACACGCGCGCGCGTGCAGGCGCGTGCGCACACACACACTGCCCCACTCAGACGCCGGGCACTCACTCTGCATGTAGTCAGAGATGTACTGCTGAATCTCCAGGCCGGAGCTGCTGATGGAGCCTGGAGGCCCGGGGGGCCCTGGTGGGCCTGGCGGGCCCTGCATGAACATGGTGCTCGATGATGATCCCCCTGCAGGAGAGAAAGCCTCTGAGTTGGTCTCTCCACCCTGGAGTCCAACAAGGGAGCCCAGGCAATGCTTTTACAGTCTGAGGAGGGAGATGCTTTCTCAGTAGGAGAACTAAGGCAGTGGCAAAGAGCTCCTGGGAGCTCTCCCAGGCCGAGCCCACCCTTTCCTCAGCAACCTGCTCACTGCCCACGTGGCCTCCCTCGCCCCTGAACCCCTAGCTCCCAGGCTCTGTTCTTGCCATCATTCATCATCGGCGTTGCTAGTCATCTTTATCGTGCAGGCATCCTTCCCTCCCACCCCCGCTAACTTGTAACCTCCTTAAAGGCAGTTCAGAGATCCCAGCACGTGGAGAAAGTATCTCATCAACACTGAATCATGGATAAGTGAATGAATTAGTTAATTAACATCCTCATGGGCATGATCAGCCTCGCTTGAAGAAGGAGAGAAGAACTTTGGGCACCTTTGGTTCTTACCTCGAGAGGGCCCACTGGGAATGCCGGGAGACCCTGGGACTCCGGGATCACCTGGAATCCAAAGCAAGCAGCTCTGTTTGCATCACCTCCTCCAGGAAGCCTCCCCTGGTTCCTCAAGTTCAACCACACTGTCAGCCGTGGCTCAACAACTGTCCCATGTTTCTCAGTCTCATTTCTGCAATGGTATCACAGCTTCCCTGGGCAGAGACGGTATCCCCACACCCGTCCCTTTCTCCCTCCAGGCTCTCCTCTCTGTCACCCTCTCTTCCTCCCAAGTCTGTAGCATCAGCAAGTACTCGCTGCCCTCTATTCGGGCTCTGGGAGCCAGCCTTGCTCCCACTCCTCCCCGCCTTCACTGACCTCTGTCACCCTTGGGTCCCTGAGGGCCGGGTGGGCCTGGCGGTCCTTGTAGGTTGAGTCCGAGAGAACTGGAGCCTGGAGGCCAACAACACAGGGCAGTCAGCCAGGTGGGGAGAGGCTCCGGCAGAGCCGGCAGCAGGGGGCTCAGCACTTACCTGAGGCTGAGAACCCTGGGAGGCCTCGCTCGCCTGAGGGACACAGCAGAGAGGGAACAGTCAGCTGTGCCGGCCTCCCTCTCCCCGTGCCCCAGCCCAAGGCACCACCTCCCTCCCGAGGCTCCCCAAGATTCATGATGGCTGGGGCAGCACCGGCCCTCGGGTAGTATCTAGAGCTGCCGCACAGACACGCACGCACGCACGCACACATGTAAGTTCTCAACCATCAGAGACACACTCTGAGCCACCCTCATCTGGACCAAACTCAAGAAGCTCAGGGATCTCGGAAGGTCAGCCTTTGCCACTCCCACCCCTACGCCAGGTTTGTTTGGTGCCAGTTCTACTGTACCTTGGTGTCCTCGGGGGCCTGGGGCGCCTGGGGGAGAAGACAGTCATGAGGCAGGTCCCACCCAGGTGCTGTGACTGCAGGGGGCCCACGGGGAAGGGGTCGGGGCTCCAGGGCCCTCGTGCCTCTCCTCCCATCGGGACAAGGCAGAGGGGATATTCTTGGCAGAGCTTCCGACCGCCCCCCACGCCCTGCTGCAGGCTGCTGAGCTCCTAATGGGATAGGGCGGGAGGGTGAAGGCCCACTCATCCCGCCTCATCTGAACTCTCCCGGCCACCAGCTGGGTCAGCAGGGGTTCACACAGGCTCCCGCGCTCCCCAAGACACTGTGCTCACCTTGCTCTCCCTTGGGGCCTGGGGGGCCAGGTGGGCCTGGAGGGCCGGACAAGAAGGTCTCTGTAGAGGAAAGAAATAGTTTTGAGTGTGGACGGCGGATGGATGGATGGATTTTCCACTAGGGACAAGTTCTGGGCTAAAGTATGTTCTGAAGTTATTTCCATATGTTTCTATGTTATACTGTCAGCATTTATCTCATTTCATGAGCATGTGTCCTACCTACTTTATCAGATCTGGGCTCCCTGAGGACAGGGACTAGGTCTCCCCAGTTGGCCCAGAAGCTCCCCAAAGGCAGATCTCCCCTAGGCTAGGCAACCAGGGATTCTCAGGGCGGCTGGGTTGGCATCAATTACCTTCTCTCCACGCAGCAGGTAGCATGGAGTTTATGCAAACACACTCACGGTGGAAAGTCAGAAGGAGAAAGCATGGTGAGTAGGTCAGAAAGGCTGCGTGCCCATGACCATGGCATGTGCTGGGGCTGGGGCTGGGGCTGGGGCTGAGGTAGAGAACAGGAGCGACTTCACTCCCCAGCGTTACCTGAGCTGGTCAGGAGAGATCCTGGCGGGCCTGGTGGGCCTGGCAAGCCTTCCCCTAGATAAGAGAGCACCCAAGACCTATTAATGCCAAGAGATGGGCCAGGAACACTCTACCCAGTAGCAGAAGTGACAGAGAAGCTCTTTCCTAAGAGCCGGCCCGGAAGAAGCCTGGGCTCTGGGTCCCATCGTCTCTCGCCTCCCACTGCTCAGCTCTCACCTGCTGGGCCTCGGGGTCCTGGGGGTCCTGGAATGGATGGTCTTACAGAAGAGGGTGAGGAAGAGGCAATGCTGAGCCCAGGGTCTTGGCTTCCTCACTAAGTGCCTTGAGCCCCCTGCCCCCAAGATTCCCCACCTTCCAAAGATCCCTGAGGTGCTCACCTGGTGGCCCAGGTGGTCCAGGTGGGCCTGGGGGACCTCGTAAATCAAGACCCTCTGTGGAAAGGAGAAACCAGAAATGAGCAAAAGCTGTCATGAGGCTGCTCTCCGCCAGCCTCACCCCTCACCAGGATCCTCAGTGCCTGTGCTCACACCCACACGCCAGGCCATGGGTCGTGGGTCGTGGCACAGGACCCTCCAAGACCCCCTCTGCTAGAGGTGCCTTTTGCTCAGAGGCAGGGCAGGGCTGAGTCGAGCTCCCTGGTGGCTGATGGGGGTGTGCAGTGATGATCAAGAGCATAGCTTCGGTGTCAGACAGCCTGAGTTGAAATCCTGCCTCATCACTGCCAGCTTGTGGGCAAGTTCTTGACCTTTCAGCCTCAGCTTCCTCCACTGTAAACCAGAGGCCCAAGATCTACATCACAAGGGCCTTGTGCAGACTCGGTGGGACGACAAGGCACAGCGCCTGGCACATGGTGACTGTTAGACCAGGGCTGGCGTTGTCTTTGCTGTTCAAGTGTCCAGGTGCCCAGGTGGGAGGCCCAGTGGCATCTCTGCCTGGGTTCTTTAAAGGACTCTGGGAACCGGAGGACCCAGGAGTCAGCGCTCCTAGGCCGGGCCCGTGGCTGAGAACCCAGGGACCCTCGTCGTTATTCATGGTGTGGGGGATTCAGGACTTCTCCAGTCACACTCACAGGGCTGGGTTCAGAGGCCCCATGTGACCCTGGTCCTCCTGGAATCCGGAGAGCCTCTCTGACAGCTGTGCCATCCCCTGTGACTCATCCTCCACAGCTGATAAAACCCCTGCTGTTCCTTCTCAGCGAGCACTGCGTTTCAGAGGAACTGGCCATCCTTACATTGGGGCTCACGATGACTCACTGGTGCAGCTGCCACAGGCCCCAGTGCTTGGCCACCTCTCCCACTCCCACCCCCGTGTCACCTGTCCCGGAGAACACGGTGGCACTCACGGGCGGAGAGGACCTCAGAGATGGAGCTGCTGCTGCCCATGAACGATTCACCGGGAAGTCCTGGCTCCCCTCGCGGGCCTGTGGGGAGGACACAGAGTTGTGGGACACCGCCTGCAGCTGTCAGTGCTTTCCCTCTGGAGCCACCCAGGTGCTCGGGGTGGGGCAGGGCCAAGCGGAGCTGGCTGTGGGCAGGGCTGAGCTGACTTTGGGCGGGGCCAGAGTGTTGGCTGGGAGCGAGACACACCCCAGGAGGAACTGGAGTCCGTTTTTTTTGGTATTTGGGTAAGTTGCTGGACAGTGCCAGGATTCTCAGGATCTCGTCACCAGAGGCCTGAGGCCTGTGAAGATAGCTGAGCTTGATCCTGACCCAAGAGCCTCAATCTCCCTTTCGGGAGGACCCCTACCTTCTCAGAAACATGGAAGGAGGTGGGAGGAGGTGTCTCCTCTGGCTGCGGAGGCCTTGCCGGGGCCTTGGAGAAGAGCCCGGTGGCCCCTCACCTCCCTTCCCAACATGCACATCTCTCACTTAAAGATGGGGCACAGGGCCATCCCAGGAAGGAAGCTCTCCACAGCCTACAGTCATGCGTTCTTTCAGGGTGTGACATACCTTGCTGTCCTGGGAGACCAGCTGGGCCAATGGGGCCTGGAAATGGGGTTGGGGAAGAAAAGGTTTTATCACACCTCTAGGGGCAGAGTTCTAGAAAGAACTGAAGAAAAGGTACTTATGGGTACATAAGTACCTTCCTCACAAGGCATGGAACAGGGGCCCAAAGAGGTCACCTTGCTTATTTGAAAACAATAAGCAATTTGAGACCAGCCCTGTGGTCCATTCCAGTGAGAATTCCTCTGCCAGGCACTGGGGCCCCTGGGATGAGCAGGACTGCCCTCTCTGACACTGTCCTCCGATGGTTAGGGACTTCTAAACACCCCCAGTGTCCCCACTCTCACTGGAGTTTATCAGGAGGGAAGGCTGAGCCATACTTGCATTGGTCATATTAAATAATGTATTTCATTTACACACAAACATTTTAAATAATTAAAAAATAGACATAAAAAAACAGGCATTTGGGATAAATAGAAAAAAGTATCACCCACAATTCTTTAACTTACAGGCATTTTGTTGTATTTCCTTCCAGCATTTTTTTATCTTATATAAATATAGTTGCAACTACAGAGCACACATTATCGAGTATTCTGCTCTTTTATTGTTTTAAAAAATTTTTATTGGCATGTAGCTGATTTACAACGTTGTGTTATCTGTCCTTTTAAATAACACTGCTATCTGCTAACAACTTCAAGTCTTCATATTTTTGTAGCCATCTCATTATTGTTGGGCAATTTGGGGATATTTGCTTCAGATAGATTCCTAGCACTTTTGTTGTTCTTGATGCATATTATCAAGTTGTTTTCCAAAGGGAAACAATTTGAGGACTGACTCTGACAAGTCAATACTGGTTCTGCAGGCAGAAGGACCTGGGCCAAACCCTGACTCTTCTATTTCTTATCCGTGTGACCTTAGGCGTGTCATTTACCTGCTCGAGCCTCCATCGGTACTGCAGGGACCTAGTGAAGCAGTGCCATGCAGGGCTTGGGATATATGCTGGGGAGTGATCAGGGCTCACCAGGCTGTCCGGGAGGGGCTTTCTCAGTCCCTTCCTACACTTCCCTGGGTTCCGGCCCGGGTTTCAGGATTTGAGCGAACGCTGCTATAGTCAAATGCAACCAAGGCCTGATGCTGATCTGGGGCAAAGCAAGAAAACAGACTGACCTGAGGCACCTGGAGGTCCTGGAGGTCCCATGGCTCCAGGAGGTCCCGGGGGACCTGGGACAGTGAGAGTCGATGATCCGTCTGAAAGCAGAAGACACGTTGAACGCTGAGCCCCACTCTCCTCGCTCAGAGGGGACCCAGGCCAGGCTGTGGGCCAGGTCGGGCCAGTATTACGTCTGAAAACCCCCGACCCTCCGCATTTCTGACTGGAAGAGTTCAGCACTGCACCTTGCCCAAAGCCCCGAGCCCGTGGACTTGGAGGGTGTTGAGGCAGAGCCGGGGCAGACGCCCAGTACACAGTGCAGGGCCTGCCTACCTACCTGAAGTCACAATCCTGCCTGGAGCTCCGGGTTCACCTGGGAGGGGAGGCAAAGGAGAGTGGTTATTCCCAGGATCAATTAGTGGCTCAATGAATCATTTTCAAGGCTTCTGGTTGCATTTGAGACCCACTCCTGGGCTTCTAACCCTCAGGCTAAAGGCATTTTAATGAACTGAAGGGGAGCATACAGGATGCATTAAGCACCAATCTCTGCACTGGAGACCCTGGAGGCTCGAGCATCAATCTTCTTGGCCCACATTAGCTTTTGGAAGAAGCTGGGACTCTGCGAAGGGGCTTCATTTGTGGATGTTGGAGAGTTTGCCTTTTGATGAGGCCAGAATGAGCTGACTCAGGAGTCGTTCCCCCTCCCACACTCTATCTTCTCCCACACTGGGCATTGCAGGCTCTTACTAGGAATTGCTTTAGGTGCAAAAAGCACTGAGAGGTCAAAGAGCAGAGGCAGTGAGCCTGTGGGGTAGAGCCTGGTTCCCAGTTCCCCTCAGGTGCTAATTCCCTGGGACAGTAGTAGGGTCTGCGCAGAGTCAAGAGGGGGTTCTGTGGTCTGGGAAACTCCGAGTCATGTAAAGGTTAACAGAGCTCTTCTCTGCCTTGTGTCTTAGAGGGTTGAAAATGCAAACGTGCATTTGCGACGGAAATTTGGGATGGAAATCCCAGATTCTCGATGGAAATCCACATTCTGCAGAACCAACTGAGTGAAGTCGAGGACGGAAAAACCCTTAACTGGAGAATCTTCTGGGACTTTTTCTCATTTCCCAAGGCCTGTGGGCAAGTCAGTCATCCACGCGCTGAGGGCTGATATTGATTTCCCCCTTTGGGGAGGGATGGGCTCTGCTTGCGGTCTGCCAGCCCCTCCAGGTCAAGGCCAAGAGAAAGCACTTGACTTTATTTTTGTTGGAACACAATCCAGTATCGGGTAAAATGTCCACCTCTGTGCACGCTGGACAGAAAGTCACAGGCCCTGGAGAAGGGCAGGGTGTCTCTCCTCGAGAATCCCCAAGCCTCTGATCTTTTACTAAAGATGCCATCAATCCATGAGCAGTTCTGTGGACCCAGAGACGTGTCTGCTTGGGATGTTCTTGAAAGAACTCCTTGGCCCAACCTGCTGTTAGCCATAGTTTCTGGAAAGCAGGTCCCCCCGCAAGGTGACAGTGACAGAGGGCAGCTCCACCGAACGTCAGGGTTCAGGAACGTGGGGTCACAGGGGCAGAAGGAGAAGGGCCGTCCCTGAGCAGCCCCTTTCCTGGACTGGCTCAGGGTTGGGGTCTGATGGCCCAGAACCGGATGTGAATGTCGCCCTACATGTAACGTCTGAGTCCTGAGGATGCCCCTCTGAGAACTCTGACTTTGGCCTCTTAGTAACATCTGAGAGGCTCCTCCCTGCCTGCATCAAAGCCCCCTCTCAGAAAGGGGGTGGCAGGGTCCCCGTCACACTGAGAACTGTGTGGACCATAACACTTGTCCCAGGGAAGAGGCACTTCATGGGGGGACCACACCTAAGTGAGGGGACAGAGCACTCGTGGGGGGCATTACAGAGTCAGCAGTGGGGACAGCACCCTTGCAGATCCTCCTCCATCGAGGGCTTGGAGATAGCCAGGCACCAAAGCGAGGCTCTGGATTGTGGGGGGACGGGTGGGGCTTGAGGACTCTGGGCTTAATTGGTCAGAAGAATCCCTGGCTCCCCAGCCTCACAGCCTTCCACTGAAGCCACCAGATGCCACTATTGATCCAGGCTCTGGCCACAGAGGGACCTCCCTCCTGCCAATGCCTCCCCTCCTGCCAAAATGACCAGTGACTGTCTAATTTGGAAAATCACTTACCTTTAGCCCCTGGTCGGCCGGGGGTACCAGGAAGTCCTGGTGTGATTGAAAACAAGTCAGTCAGGATGATTAAGGGCCAGCAATTCCAGACCCCCTGTGGTAGTACCTAGCACTCTGTCACTGGCAAGGCCACAATTGCTGACTGAAACCTGCAGACCCACCTGGCTCAACCTTCCACCTTAGCCCAGCTCCCTTGAGGGAGCCTCTTGCTCTGAGCCCTTCTTCCTCTCTAGGAAATGGAGCAACAGCTGGGCTGATGGCAGAGGCTCACAGGCCCAGCTCTGGGGGATCCCAGTCCCTCTGGGTGATGAGCCCCCTGCAGCCTGCAAAGCGGCCATTGTAACCCACCGGCCCTGCAGCCTGGGGGAGTAGGGGCTGGGCTTCCTGTATCTGATGCAACACCCCCTCTTGCTTTTGTCCACAACTCCACCAGGGAGCATTTGAAAGATATCCCTGTGAGCTCAACTGTTGAGGGGAGATGCTGTTTGATTTTATTTTACAACTTTGCCTAATTTCCTTTAGGAGTTGGGGCTGGTGTGGTGACAGCTTCTCAAATCCAAGTGGGTGCACACCGTCCAACTATCGGACAGGCTTTGACACTGGGGCTGTCCCAGGGAGGCTGGGCCCTTCTGCATGAGATGAGTGCCCACTCCCTACTGTGCCACAGGGGATGTGGGCCTCTGTGGGGCTAATGGGACTCCTGGGCCTGGAGCCTCTTCTTGGGGGTCCCTGCACCAAAGGGGACCAGGCTCAGGCAGACAGAATTCACACGTGATCTAACCTCATCTCTCCTAGAATGGCTTTCTAGATTGTTCTGTGCATATTCTTCCTTCCTAAGGTGTTTCTCAAGACTCACAGCAAAATGACCTGAGCCCATTTTTGCTGGGGGAGTGAGGGAAGGAGAGGAAACACCAAGGTGACTGGTGAAGCATCTGCCGAATGCGGGGATTGGGAGGCTTGGCGGTGGCGTCTGAAGCGGCAGTGACCCGATGACTCACCCTGAGGTCCTTGGGGTCCTGTGAGACCTACGGAGAGCAGAAGACATGAGAGGAGAGTTGAAGGGCGGAGGAGCCGACCCCTCAGCAGCAGGAGCGGGCGGAAGGGATTGGTGGGCGCAGGAGGATGAACCCCGTGTCTGGGGCAGACGGACTCCAGGGTCCTCGCAGCCCTGGATGAGAGCAGTTTTCTGACTCACTGCTCCATCAGGGGATGGTTCTTAGCCCATTTGGGGTCAAGACCCTTTGGTGTCTGAGAGCTACAGACCCCAGAAGTTCACACACTCACTGACCCCTAATGTTGCCCCCAGGCTCCCTCCTGGGTGCTCTCCATCTGTGCACCCACCAAAGGAGCCCAGAGGCCCCCTGTTCCTCATCGGCCCCTGAGGATTGCCACCTTGTCCTCCCAGCTTTCTTGGCTTGTTTTGATTTGTCCCTCCTGCAGCCCTGAGGATCTTGCTCCTGCTGGGCCTTTGGTGGAGACCCTAACAACAGCTTATCTCGCCAGACTGGTGGCTATTGGCGAGGGTCCAGGTACGGCCCAAGGGGGCCCACAGGGGAAGGGCTCAGAGGACCCAGACACTGAGGTGGTGATAAACTGCCATTTTTAAGAGACTCCTTGCCCCTTTCTAGAACTCCTTGCTTTCAGTGTTGATCTCTCTTTTCCAAGTTGCCAGACTTGGTGACTTAGGTGTCAGGACTCACAGCCGCTGTGCCCAGCTCAAGCCAGCAGTTGTGGCATTTTCCTAATGAGCTGCTAGAGGAAAGTGGATTAAGGAAGGTACACACACACACACACACACACACACACACACACACACACACACACACGCAGCATGGCCAGCTCCCACTTCCCACTCTGTTACCTGGCTTTCCTGGGTCTCCAGAAGGTCCTGGTAAGCCCCGGATTCCGGGCATCCCTGGAAGACCTTGTTCCCCTAGAGAAAGCATGACCAACGTGGAAACGTTTGCCTTTTAGGCAAGCTGACCAGCCAACACATCGGAGCTAATGGTCTCTTAGGGTTTTACTGAGTAACTTGCTGGCAGGTGGAAGGGAGGAGGGGGATGAGACCAGGACCTTGCACACCTCCCTGTGATGTACGCCCTCTGGCCTTGGGATCGGGGGGCTGGGGGCTGAGCGCTGGGACGTGGGCAGGGGGGACAGTGGTGGGCCGGGGGAGTGAGCAGAGCAGCTGAGTGACCAACCTCTTGGGCCTTGGTGTCCGTCGGGGCCAGCTTGTCCTAGGAAAGCAGATGCAAGCTCATCAGTGACTCTAGGAGCTACTCTGGGACTCCCTCCCTCCACTGCGTTATAGCCTCACAAGCTGTCTCCTGGGTGGGGCACCCATGCATCCCCTCCTGCAGCCATCAGACATGGAAGAAGCCCTGTCGTTGTCACAGCTGCAGGGTGCAGCTTTCCCCCTGCCCTGTCCTCCTAAACCAGTAATGCCTCTTCTCCCGCTGAGAACTGTTCCATGGCCCCCACTGCATCTCTCGCATCGATGGCACAGGACTCGCACACACCAGATGCTCAATACACGTCGGCCTCATTTGGTCCAGGTCCTGGAGGTCAAGATTCTCCAAGATCTTGTGTCCTCTGCTGTAGGCATTATCCTAACCTCCGTCCACAGTGATGTCCTTCTGGCACCAGCTCTTCCCACCTGCTTTTTCCCACATCTCTGTCTTTCCTCACTCATGTCTCTGCGTGGCATTTTCTAAATTGATGTGATTAAAATCTTCTTTACTTTTTAGAACCATCTGAAAAGGGACCTCTTTCATCCTTCCGGTTGGAAGAAACTTCTCTCTCTACTGTTTCTGCATAGCACCCTGTACCTTTCATGGCCCTTGTCATCTCACACAAGCTTTATCTCCCCTCAAGGGAGGTAAAGCATCTTACTCGCCCAGCACAGCATCCTTCACACCATCAGCGCTTCCTAACACTTTGTTAATGAATGAGATCATGAATGCACCACGTCTCCATTGGTGGGGCTTAGACCCTTCTGGGATGTGGTGTCAAATGCCTGGCCCCGTGGGGGGTCTTTAGCCAGCTTCCTTTTCCTGGCTGACAGGTCCCTCAGTAAGGGTCAGCCAAAGGGCTGAACCCTGGAGTATCAGGGCTATGCCTGGAATTCTGCGGGTTCCAAAGAACCTCAGCCCTCGTTTGTCCTCCCCAAGGGCCTGAGGGCCTTAGAGGCAGGAACCGGGGCAGATGGACCATGTCCTGCCAAGCCCCTCCAGAGCAGTAAGAAACTGTGAGAGACACAGCTGCAGCTCTCTGAGCCCCAAGAGGGATGCCCAGATCCAGGAACAGCCTGTAAATGGAGCCTCTACCAGGAGAGGAGAGGAGAGAATGGGAGATGCAGCTCTAGGAGAATCTCAACTCTAGGGCCATGACGATGACTGCGGCGGGGCAGACCCATGGTGTCTGCTGCTGTGAGACACTCACCCATTGCTCCTTTAGGCCCAGGCTCGCCCATAGCACCAGGTAAACCTTTCAAGCCGGGCTCGCCTGCAAAGGAAATGGACTAGGTGTTTGGAGGAGCTTGACAGTGGTAGAACACTCTACCCTCCCGGCCCACCCCCAAGCCTGCCACCTCCCCAACCAGAGGAGCTTGGTGTGCCAACCAGAGGCTGGAGACACAGCATCAGCTTTGATTCTAAAGTCAGGCCTCCCACCCCCGGCAGTAGGCACGGACTGGCCCAGAGGCCACGCCTGGTCTGAAGGGGCCTGTGTATGAGTCTTATTTCCTTGGCAACAAAAAGCTGCCCCTTGTAGCCAAAGCACTAGTACTGTTAAATTCCTTTTTGATCATGCAAGTTGGCAGGAGGTAAGTGGATACAAGTAGGGCCAACTTTCTGCCACTTAGGGAAGGGCTTAATTTTCCCAACTCAATTCTTCAAAAGAATCAGAGATAATCATAAATTCCCTTTTCTGCCCCAAACATTTACTGTCTGGACCATACATGTTGATGCTGGCTTATACTCCATTCAGTGCTTTATTTTATCTTGTCCTGCTTTTTTTCTAGATTGCAAGTCCCCTGAAGGTTTTAGACAGAGATTCTGTCTCCTACTTCTGTATTTTTTCCCCCCATCTCCAGTACCCAATGGATTTACAGAAAGTCTTTAGTGGATCACAGTAGATTCCTATGTGGGACTGACCTGTGAGGCCTCGGGGTCCTTTCTCACCCTGGTCACCTAAAATAAAAATGGGGCAGGGGTGGGGGGGTGGAGGAAACAAGCATCAGTCATGAGCAAGAAGAACCTCACCCAGTAAGAGGGACCCCGGGCTGCACCTGTTCCCACTGCACCTGCTGTCAGCTGAACTCAGCATTAACAAAGCCCCAAAGGCACACTAGATAGATCTCTTCCGGGTCAGGGCCCACCCACAAACTGACCCAGGCCCTGCTGTCACACCAGTGGGTGCTGTGGGCAAGAGGGGGACCAGACTAGAGGGGAGAAGCTTCAGTGCTGCATCCATGCCACCCCGAGGGCCACCCAACCACAGCATTGTGACGCTGGTACTGTTTCTCCTCTTTGTGCCTCAGTTTCCCTGAGAGGTTCGACTAGAATCTCAGATCCCTCCCAGCCCCAGGGTCCAGGAGCCAAGTCATATGGGTTTTTGGACACCGGGACAGGGGTCACATTTGGGTTCCCAGGAGTCGGCAGGCTGTGGTGTTGTCCAGGCAGCAGCAGGAGAAGCATACCTTTGGGTCCTGGTGGTCCCATAGGTCCTTTGTCACCTGAAAAGGAAATGGACACCTTAGTGTAAAGAGCCTTAGTAGGGATGACCAACAAGGGGCAGAGCCTGTGTCTGAAGACAGGCTCCTCCGCAGTCCTGACTGCCCCTTCCCCTCATGCACCTGTTGGCCTGCACAGGCCGTTGGCATGTCCACCAGACCCTGCCCCGCCAGACCTCCTCCATTTTTTTTTGGCCGTACCACACAGCATGTGGGATCTTAGTTCTCTGACCAGGGTTTGACCCGTGCCCCCTGCGTTGGAAGCATGGAGTCTTAACCACTGGACCGCCAAGGAAGTCCCCCAGACCTCCTTCTTAAGTGAGTGGCATCTACAAGGTGATGTTCCCTCCCTCTAACCCCTTCCTCCAGCTTACCTTTGATGCCAGGGAGTCCCACTTCACCTCGTAGCCCTTGGCGACCTACAGAGCCTGCACACAGAGGAAACCACATGGGTGGATGAGTGTCCCCAGCTTTGGAAGGGATGGACATGCACACGGCACACATACACACAACACGTACACACACCTATCTGGCACACAAATGTACACACACACATAGGCACACACACTCCCTGGAGCAAAAGTCAAGGGCTGCTGTTCACAGACTCCTCCCCATGTCCCTGCTACATCGTCCTGGTCCAGGTTCCTTGTCCCTGAGATTACCAGGCCCAGGGATGAGGACCCCTCATGGGACCCTGGCAGAGACGTTGGCCTGCATCACAGAGTGGGCTGTAGCTCAAGACTCCCACAACAGCCGGACAGGCTCTGGCCCACAGGGGACCAGGTGAGGCAGGCGCTTTGCTCAGATCAAGGCAGGCTGGGAGCTGCCTGCTGCTGAAGCTGCTGGAGGGCCTCGTGCCCCAAGTCAGGTCAGAACAGATCTCAGGGGACCCATTGGTACCAGCCTCAGCAGCAGGGGACACACGTGCAAATGTGAGTTTTGTGTCTCTTAGAGGCTCTCTTTATAATTGCTTCTTTTGCTTTAAAAATGTTTGTTTCTCCATTTAACATCCCTCTCTTTGCCCCAGAAACAGCGTCTACTTATAAGAAGGCTACTGACCTGGGGGACCCTGTGGGCCAGGAAGACCGCTAGAACCTGAGGAGGACAACACGACAACGATGATCAGATGGGTCGGGTACAGGCCAGGGACACTGACCCCATGGTGAGTGGCAGGTGGAAGGGGTGGGGCACGCAGCCCCAGGTGAGGGCTGCGTGTGCGCACCAGGACCCCAGAGCCAGTGGGTCCAGGAGTGATCCCAGTGCAAAGTCCTCCTTAGGGAGGAAGCTGAAGCTGCTGGGATCCAGAGGCCCTTTGCTCCTATCCGGTCACACATCTGAGCTGGGGCAGGGGCTGGGAGGAGGGCGGACCAGGCGCGCCGCGCCGTGAGCAGGGCCCCACTTGCCTGGCTTGTCCAGACATGTTGCCCTCAGACGTCTGCCTCTCGGCCCTATAGCCAGCAAGGAAATTGTCAGACTTCTGATTTCCAGATCCATCCCCCCACTTAGGGGCCACAGAACAGGGCCATCAAAGAGAGATGGCGGGCTTCCCTGGCGGCGCAGTGGTTGAGGGTCCGCCTGCCGATGCGGGGGACGCGGGTCCGTGCCCCGGTCTGGGAGGATCCCGCGTGCCGCGGAGCGGCTGGGCCCGTGAGCCGTGGCCGCTGAGCCTGCGCGTCCGGAGCCTGTGCTCCGCAGCGGGAGAGGCCACGGCAGTGAGAGGCCCGGGTACCGCAAAAAAAGAAAAAAAAAAAGAGAGAGAGAGCGAGATGGAAACGTGACTCCCAAATCCACCACAGAGCCAAAAATACAGCCCCGATCCTGATGCCCAGGGACTTCTTTGTGGGGGGACCCTCTGAGGGCCCGTCGACCCCGCACAGGCCTGGGACCGTGGGTTAGGACCATCTGGGATCCCAGCACCTGGATCTCTGAGATCCATCCTGATTGTGGCAAACTTGGGTACCGTCTGGGTACCTGACTTACCTTTGGGACCCACAGAACCTGGGACACCAGGTGGGCCTTGAATGCCTGGTTGACCAGCATCCCCTGGGGAGAAATAAGCACTTCGAGAGGGTCCCCCAGTTTGGGTGCCCACCCAGCCCAGTGGTGTCATTCGCAGGGTGGAGGGAACACTTCCCACCCTGCCAGTGGTCTCTGATCCACTGGGGCCTCCATGAGGCCAAGAATCAGCAAAACACCTTCAGTTTCTACCTCCAGAGTCTTTATATTCCATGAAGTCTGGCACTCAGTAGGTGCTCAATAAATATTTGTTGCCTGGTTGAGCAATATTTTTAAGAGAGAGTGAAGCTAAAAATATAGCTTCTTGCTCACGATCTTTTGGCCTTGAGAGGATTTCTGGTGTCTGTGCTTCATTTCCCCTGATGAAAGCAGGCTCATGGTTAAGTATCTAATGCAACATCTTCCCAGCTCCCTCCAGGGCTGGGCTTCCGTCTGAAGCTTTCCTCGCCTCCTTCCAGCCACGAGAGGCTCCAGGGCAGGCACCCCACTCTGCCTTCCGTCAGGCCCTGCCCTGAGCTCTCCACCTCAGCCCTGACTCGTCCCCACCCCCTCTCGGGAAGATCACTTCTCCCTGTGACCATGTTCTGTGGACTCAGACTGCAGGGGTCTTAGCCCCAGGCTTGAACGCACAGCCCAGCCCACGCCCCCTCATTAGACCACAGTCTCTGCAGGGCCCAGCACAGCCCCTGGCTCAAGGCAGGTGCTCAGCTAATGCTAGTAAAAGACAGAGGGAGGGAGAACGATGTAAGAAGGAAGTGTGGGCGCAGCTAACCCTCCTGGTGAAGGAATCACCTCTTACCTCTGTCTCCTTTCTCTCCAAACCCAGGAGGCCCTGGTTCACCGCGAGGTCCCATGGGGCCTTCTCGCCCTCTCTGGCCCATGGGTCCCTCCATGCCAGGCTCTCCTAAAGACAGGAATGTCCATCTCAGTTAGGGCCGCGAAGGACGCCCCAGGCAGCACCTCGCTGGCGGGACACCTGCCTGGAGTGTCCACACCCAACTCCCTACCTCTCTCTCTCTCCTGTAGCCCAGACTCAAAGCAGAAGCCAGAGAGTTTGAAAAGGCAAGTGGATCGTGTCCCACTTCTGCCCCAACCTGCAAATGGCTTCTCTACTCACTGGGAGTAAAAGCTGAACCCTCACAAGGCCTCCAGGGTCCCTCCCTCTCGACTCTCTGCCTTCTTAGTGGGCTCCAGCACCCGCCCCCATTCCTCCTGTCCCCCGCAAGCTCCTGAACCCACGGGCACACACTTGCCCCAGGGCGTGTAGCTGCTCCCTCTACCTAGAGGGTTCCCCCAGATCTCCTCAGGCCTGGCTCTCTCCCCGCTTTCACATCTTTGCTCAAATGGCACCTTCTCAGCAAGACCTTCCCTGCCGGCCCTATTTTCAATGACCCCTCAGCCCTCCCAAGGCTCCACTGGGCTCTGTGTTCCCATTTCACAAGCCACTTCCTCCCTCTATGTACTGCACTTATTTAACATGTCTATTGTTTATCTCCACCCAAAAGTAGGCAGGGGTTTTGTTTTGTTCACCACATCTCCCCAGCACCTAAAACAGGGTCTGGCACGCAGCAGGCACTTAACGAACATTTACTGAATGAATGAATGAATGCGGGAATGAGGGAATAAGTGAACAGAAAAGCGGTTCTCACCCACACTGCCTTTTTGTCCCTTTGGTCCCTCCGGACCTTGGTGGCCCAAGGGCCCAGGGATACCTGTGGACACACAAGAATAGCTCAGCCCTGCTTTCCTCCCAAACCCCAGGAGCAAGGACCGGGCAGCCTGCAACCTCACCAGAACCATCAGAGGCTACGCACCTGGAGTCCCAGGGAACCCTCGATCTCCTGTGGGAACAGAGAGAAAAAAGTCAGCCAGAGGACTCAGGCCGGTCACCTAAAGGAGCCACCAGTGGAATTCAGGTAGGATCGCCAAATTTAGCAAAGAAAAATATGGGACTCTCAGTTAACTTTGAATTGCAGGAAAACATTGAATAAACTTTTACTTATAGTGACAAGTGATTTAGTGTTTATATGTAATTCACATTTGACTGGGCATCCTATATTACAGTCAGGAGGGGTGTGGGACCTGCCAGCTGGAGCCTTGAGGAAGGGGGGCTGAGGCGGTGACCCAGGGTGTGCGTGTCGGGGCAGGGAATCCTGAAGTTGAGGGCCACCAAGTGGAGGAACCCCAATTCCTGCACCAGGATCTCCTGGGAAGGAGAGAGGGGTGACCCTGTCATTCCCAATAGTGATTCTCAGAATGGTCTGTGCAGCCCTGGCCTCACAACCACCCAGGGTTGATCCAGGCCACAGGCTCACGGCCCCACCCACACCTGCTCATCAGAGGCTCTGGGAGTAGAGCCCAGAATCTTCCGGCAATTCCCACATACCCCGAATCTTAAGAATCCCACTCAGCTAGATCGAGGGGCACTTCTGTGGTCACTGGGATTGGAAAGATCTTCCTCCCACCCCTAGGCCTGTCCCAGTGATTGTCAGACCACTTTTCTGAGGACATATATCAGTTTCCTACAGCGACATTGTGCCACCCAAGTTAGCAGGTGACTGTCCCCCAGCTAACCAACACTGAGGGGCACCTTTTCCTGTGACTATATGTCCTGTCTCCCTGCCAGATGCCCCTACTTCCCCTGAAGGCAGGTGGTGTTGGCCCTACTGAATTCCCCGCCCCGCCGCCCCCCCCCCCCCCCCCCCCCCCCCCGCCACGCCTCCGGTTTCACGCACCTGAGGCTTCCGCCCCCCACTGCAGGTGCTCCATTCCTGACTGATGGCTTTTATTCCCAGCCTCCCTGGGCTAAAACCCCTGAGAGCAGGCTGCTCACCTGGATCGGTGATTCCTGACCTGGTTCATCAGAATTAACCTGGGGGGAGGGGGTCCGTCCCCAGAGCATCTGATTCCTGGCAGGGCCCAGGAAACTGTCTTTCTCGAAATCTCCCCGGGGGGTTGTGCAGTAGCAGGCCCTCAGGCTGCCCTTTGCAGCTGGGGGAGATGCAGGCCCTGGATGCAGGCCTCCTCAGGGTCCCTGGCGTGGGAATCCCTGAGAAGGGGCCAGCGCCACAGTGCTGCCCCAGAGATGTAGCCTTGCTCTGTCATGAAGCCCCCGGGGTCCCAAAAGCCCGAGGGTGTGCAGGCTGCTCTGCAATTCATGGTCCTACCACAAGGGGAGATGGCCAGGGGAGTGGGAGGTGCATTTTCTGACATTTGCTGATTGCTTCACACTGTCAACCCTCACTAATATTTAAGGTAAAGTTTTCCAGGTTTTGTTTACCTTTAGGGCCTTGACTTCCCATGTCACCTAAAATCAGAAAGACATGAAAACTGTGAGATGGGGTGAGAACCCAAGGGCCATTCTCTCCTAGTATCTTAAGGCCAGCTGACAGCATGGAAATGGCATTTCAAGGTGAGCTGGCGGGTGGTGTAGCTTCCTCGCGGTCTCCGTCTGCGTCTCTCGGGCACTTCACTCGGCCTCTCTTAGATGATGCCTTAATTCCCTTCTCATTCTAAGATATTCTGACTGTAGAGCCAATTCTCAACCCTCCCAACAGATTCTGTAAGATCTTTCCACTGCTCATCCTTCAATTTGGAAAAAAGAGAAGTTTTCCGATCCTCTCAGAAAACCCAGCTCCAAGCGCAGGAAATGAGAGCAGGGAAAGAGCCCCATCCACTGTGATACCTTTAGGGCCAGGGCTTCCTCGGAGATTTCCTACAAGAGACAGCAAAGCCTGAGTTAGCTGCACATCTTCTGTGTCACACACACATACACACACGCACACACACATTTGAAGGGGATCACCATGGTACAGTAGGAAGAAACAGAGGCTAGGACTAGCAGCAATCTGGTTCTAAAGTGTGCAGGTTGTGTGATCTTGATCATGGGCAATTTTCCCCAGGTCTGAGTTTTACTAGCTGTAAAACAGGATAGCAGTACGGGTCCTCCCTCCCTCCCTCCCAGGGTTGTCAAGAGGGCTGAATGAGGGGAGCTTGAGAGTGCCCTAAATGGGTACCACTCCACATACAGGAGCCGGGACTGGGAGCCACTGGCCCTTTTCCTTGCGATGGGCTCACCGTTTTCCTGTTCTGCCATCAGCTTGCCCCTCATGAATTGCCAGAGGTCTTCTTGACTGTAGCCATCAAGCTCAGATTTCCTGACACCTTCGCCCAGCCTCGGTGCGACACCCTGCACGGAGTCCTGGCTGGTCCTCTCCATCTTCTTGTTGTAAAGCAGCACGCTGCTCCTGACCTTTTCCAGCTCATCCACACGTGCTTTCAGGTTCCTCACCTCCTCAGCTGAAATGGACACACGGAGGCAGTGTCAGCACAGGGACCCCCGAGCCAGTGCCTTCCAAGCTTCCAGGGGAGCCTGAAAAGGGGGCTCTGGAGTCCGTGGTGGCTTCTTCATGCCATGGGGACATTTTGCTGGCATATTTTGGGGGAGACAGTCTGTCGTGGCTACCAGCAGGATGAGCCTCTCAAATTCGGAACCAAGCCTTGAAGACGCCTGGCCATCATCTGAGATGGTCACAAAGCTGGCCCTCTCTCCCAGGGAGCTGGTGTGAGAGCCAACAGAACGTGGAAAGTAAAAAGGCTATGAAAGGCCTGGCCTGATTGTTAAGGGCAGCCAGATGCTTAGAGCAGGATGCCACGGGGTTGGGGCCCGGGGCCAGGACGGAGGAGCTGCCTTAGAGTCCCAGCTCAGCCACGGAGCAGCCATGGGACCTTGGCCAGATGCCTCCTGGAGGCCCAGTTTTCTCACCTGCAGTAACATGGGGTCTGCACCCATGATCTCGGGACCCTTGGCCCCTGACACTTGGGACACTCACTGATTCTTGCCCTTCGGAACAGGCAGCAGGGCTGCCATCACCACATACCCAGAGCGATGAGGCCAAAGAGCAGCCCCAGGAGCAGCAGCCAGGTGAGGAGAAGGCCCAGCAGCCACTTCCACCAGCTGCAGCAGGAGCCACAGGGGCACCAGGCTGGCGCTACCCCCCACGAGCCCTTGCCGCCTCCACCGGAGACCCCGCTGCCGGCGCCCCTGCCGCTGCTACTGCCGCCCCCACGGTGGCGGTTGTAGCCGTAGAAGTCTGTGGAAGAGAGGGCAAGGGTAAGGTGAATGCAGGCAGCTCTTGCCCTCTTCCCTCCAAAATTCTCCAAATTTTGGTGCCTTCCTGTGGGCCTGAGTGAATGTGAGTGGGGCTTTCAGGTTCCTGTGTGGCTCCTGGAAAAAACGCAGGGCTGTGGCTGGCGAAGAGTGGAGGTCTGTGACAATCCTGGCCTTGAGCTGTGTGACCCAGAGAAAGTCACTTAACCTCTCTGTTTCATTTTTTATAAAATAGAGTTCAAAGCTGACCTTTCCTCATGAGATGGATGTTGAATGAAATGAGATAAGGCATGTAATTAGCAGAGGACGTAGCAGATACGACCAGGCTTAAAATTCTTGGTTATGAATGTGGATCTGCTACAACCTCCTGCATTTTATTATATGCCCAAAGCTGAATAATTCTCATCTGCATGTCTCAGTTCACACGGCTCTTACTTTGTAATCCCCACAGTGCCTAGAACTACACTCAGCTCTTAAGGGGTGGTCAGGAAGCTCTTTATTTTTATTTGTTTTTTAGTTTCAGTGAAAGTGTTTTTAGTTTTTAGTATCTAAAATGGGCTGATACCCCTTGATCTGCTTCTCTCACAAGATTATGGGAGCAAGTGAGGAAAGTGTAAAGGACTGGAGAAGTGTGTGGCCTTAGTGTCACCTTGCAGCCCGTGTGGGTGGGGGGAGGGGAGGGGTCTGTAAGACACAACTGTAGCCTTGCTGTGCTGCTCCTGCCATGTTGTCAGACTCTGCAGCTAAGGGCAGACAATGGGCACCCAGCAGGGGCAGTGTGGCCCGTGAGCACATCTCCTGAGCTAAGCTCCTTCAGCAGCCCTGCTCCAGCCCCCAGCCAGCCCCTCTCCCGCCCTCCACCCCGCTCCCATTGAAGGCTTTTGGGGAAGATCTGTAGAATTGGGTGGCTCATGCATGCCCTGGCTCCAGGCTAGGGGGCCGTTATCTATTCCATTCACCATAACCAGCCCTGTCCGCTCCAGTCACTGCAGGACCCAGGTCTTACTCACCTGCAGAGGCAGCGTTGCCCTTTGCGGACACGGTCTTCACGTCTCCTGAAATACAAACACCGAGAACACATGTTTTGACTAAGCTTTTCAACTGCAGGAGCCCAGTCCAGTCCAGCCTGTGCATGGCCTTGGGACAGGGCTTGAAGTAGATGTGCCCCCAGGGACCTTGTGGAACAGCCACATGCAGGTGCAGGAACATCTATTAACTAAGTCCTCACAGATCTCATATTTGCAATAATCACATTGTTGAAGACCTGGCTTGGCAAACAAGTCACAGTGGGAAAAAGCACAGTGTCATAACCTTCTTGTGACCTTCAACCTCTAAAGTCCGAGACATTTTTTGGAGGACCGTGTTAGGAATGACCATGGCATTCAAATAATAAATGTGCCTGTGAGAAATGACTCTTGATTTCTTGGTTACAAGACTGCACACAGGTTCCTAACCTGGGGTGGAGGGAACAGTAAGGCAAAGATGGGCTTGAAGGAGGGCTGATCATGAGTCCTGGATGCTATTTGACCACTGAGTTTGTGGGCATGTGTGGAATTTTCTGGGAAAACTGTTTATAGCTTTCACCAGATTCTGAAAAGTATCTTTTGGCTCCAAACCCCACCTCCATCCCTAAAATGTAAGGAACTGCTAACTTAGAAGACTTGGCTTCCAACCTTGAGAGGATTATAACTGATGTCATTTGCATTTCAAAAAAATGTTCTGTGACTTAACTTTTCTCTTCCTTTACTGATCTCCTTAAAATCAGTGATTTGGAGAGATTCATAGGAAGCAGAGCAGTGAAGAAATGTGGTTATCCAAGACAGAATCCAGGTATTTGGGAAGAAAAAATAAAGCTAGCAAGTGCTTTGAAAAACCTTTTTCTATTAGCTCTGAAAATTACGGAGGACAAGTAAGGTGAGAAAAAAATACCACTGTGGACTTTAGATGTACCATGAGAAGACTTTGCTTCTATAATTAGCACACGTGAATCAACAGGGGAGCTTGTTAAAATGCAGCCTCCGACACAGCAGGTCTGGGCTAGGGCCCAGGATTCTGCATTTCTAACACGCTCCCAGGTCTCACAGATGCTGCTGGTCCAGGACCACACGCAGAGTACTGAGGTCTTGGGAGACAAATAAATGACAGATGGATTGGCCGGAGTCAAAGTGGACAGCCATCAGATTTGCTCTTACCATTAGCTTCTGACATTAGGTAGGTGTCAGTGGTGTATGCAGCTTGCTTTTCCTTTTTTAGGGTGTCCTCTGAAAAAGAAGCTGTGCACACAGCCCATGATGAGATCCCGGATATTCTCTCCCCGCTCCCGCCACCCCACATCCTTTCCCGCTTGTGGAGGTAGAAGTTAGCCTGGTAGGAAGAGGGCCTGCTTTCCCGGGGTTAATCCCCCCAGTCTGGGCCTGTGGTTAGGAGACTTATTATTGCCCAAAGACACTCTGGAAGCTCTTTGCTGACTTTCCCTGACTTGTCTGCATTCAAGGCAGACCCTGGGACACCCTATTTGTCAGCCATTTTCCATTTGAAAGGGGTGACTGTGGTTTCATCATTCAAATGTCTCAAACCATCTCGCTAGGACATTTGTCTACGCTGTTTGTCTTTCTTCCAAAACCCAAGTCTCGTGGGCTCCCACGTACTTGCAGTGACACTGGCAGGGGAGGCGGTGAAGACCTTCCCGCTGTCCTTGGTCATGATCAGCAGCTCCACCTCGTTCTTGGCAGGTGCGTTGTCTTTCTCCAGGATCAGGAATTTACAGTCCTTGTGCAAGAGGTCATTGTTGTGGACACTTGTGGTGCTGGCTGGAGAGGAAAGAAGTGGGTGAGGAGGACGGAAAATGTGGAGGGAGAGGAAGAGGGAAGAGGAGGAGGAGGAGGAGGGCGGAGGAAAAGAAAGGGCTAGTGGGCGCGTCGGAGAGTCTCCTGCTCCTCTCGCCGTGGTTACTAAGAAGCATCTTGGGGACCAGAGACACCCTCCCCTGCCTAGCTGGGCCTGGCCATCAGGAGGTCGGGTCAATGTCAGAAGTGCTGGGGGCTGGCCTGAGGGGCTGCCCCCGACCTGAACATAACAGGGTCTTCAGCGAATGGTCAAAAGTTGCTGTGTCAGGCAGGCCTTTCTTTAATCAACTGGGTGGGTTCATTTCTAACTGCAGGTCTCAAGTGTTTGCAGCCTGGGGGCACTTTTCCTAACCACTCCGGCCAGCTTACACACAGGCCTGTCTCTACCACCTCACTATGTCGGCCCTTCAATTATGTGCCATTTCCTGTAATTATCTTGTATACTTTTTCCACTTGTTTGTTACCTGCCTCCTCCACTGGAACTGTCAGCCTGGTGAGGGCAGGAATCTAGCCTCCTTGTCTATGTCTGTAATCCCGGAACTCAGAACACCCGTCTCACACAAAGTAGGTGCTCAGTAAACAGCTTTTGAATGAATGAATTGTTGAATGGAGGGAAATGCACCGGGATCAGAGCAACGGAAGAGATGGACACATGACTCGTGGCAGCCTAAGTTGATAGATTCCACGGGAAGTAGGGAGGGTGCAGCAGCTTCTGGGGGGCGCCCTGGCCCTTTTGATGGGTAACCAGTAACCAGGCCAGGGGCTTCCAACAAGGGTGGGGGATGGGGTGTGAGTGCCTGACCCTGGGCAGGTGTGGCGCTTCCTGGCCCCCTGGGACAGGAAGGCCAAGGTAAGGTAAGGGGCATACTCACCTGCCCACTCCTGGAAACAACCAAGAGGCCCGTGGGGTGAGTCCCATTTGCAGACCTCAGACCACCAATGGGTTATGTCCCCTCCTGACATGTGTCACTCAGAAACAACTCTTCCTGTGTGCCAGCCTGCCCCCAGCAGCTGGGGACAGCACTCACCTGTGGAGGTGGACACCCCAGTGCTCACAACGGCAGGGCTCTGGGGCATGTTTTTCTTCACACCATATGCTGCAAGAGAGGAACCTATGAATGAGCAGAGCCAGCATAGGAGGGCAGCTCCACGCTGGGTGGAAGCAGCCTGACCCGCCCAGGCAGACAGGCAGCCTCCCCAGGTGAGAGGAAGATATTGGGTTGGCCACAAAGTTCGTTCGGGTTTTCGGTAGCATCCTGGACGAACTTTTGGCCAACCCGATAATAATGAACAGAATAATAATGAATAATGGAATCAACTCTCTCCCGCCTTGGAGGCAGCAGTGAGTTTAGATGAAAACTTCTATGATATAATCCCCATCCTTGGAGGACCATTCCAAAGGCCACCTCCCCCTCTCCCACCTCCCAGACGCTCCCACATCTCCTTCCCTTCTGAATTCCTTCAGCTAACACCTGCTCTGCACAGCTTGATTCATGCTAACAGGATCCCCCAGATGTTTCATGTGTCTTAGACTTTCTACTCCAACTTAACAGTAAGCAAGTTGAGTGCAAAGGCTGAGGCTCGCACCTTTCCTGTCCCCGCCCACCCCCCCCCCA